AAAAGAAAAAGAAAAAGAAAAAGAAAAAGAAAAAGAAAAAGAAAAAGAAAAAGAAAAAGAAAAAGAAAAAGAAAAAGAAAAAGAAAAAGAAAAAGGGGACTCCAGCCAGTGGAAAGGGGACGAAGGAGCGGTTAGTCCAGTGATCGTCCAATTGTGTTAATTTAATTATACGGAATAAAACTGGAAGCAGAGTCTGAGTCCCTACTCCATAGTCCTTCGACTAGTTCAGTGGGCTAAGTAAAGGAGGTCCATTAGAAGTTGATTGCTGCTCAGGGGAGGTTCATGTCAACCATTTGATTTTCAGGCTAGCTTGAAGGGGATCCACAATTTGATGCTGTTATGGTTTCCGTTTTCTTTTTTGCTCTTCTCCCTTGTGGTTGCTGGTGAGTGAATTGAATTAGACCAGAAATCTTGTTGGTGATTCCAGTATTGGATCTTCCCAATAATATTTCTTATACTCAACCATTGATTGTTGCAATTGCCTCGTAGCTCATGACCTATGGATGTATTGTCTCATTCCATCAATCCAACTCCTCCACTTACCGCTCGTATCTCCGTTGGATTTTTGATTTGATATTTTTACCCCATCTTTCTCCCGATCGAATCATACGATGTCTCCCGAGAAGGCAAACCGTTGAGTCTGCTGCCTCCCAAGCGATCGTCAATTGTAATTTCCCAAAGAGCCCGTGGTCCGTGTTTCAGTCTCTCCTAATTCAACCGTCACATCACATAAGGCGTTCTTTTTTCTTTTTCAATACTAATAATTAGCTGTGACCAGATATCAATCGTATACTTCAACGTACGTATAGAGCACATATTGTACGTGTAAGTATAGAGATAGCTGTGTAATGGAGAGGTTCAACTAATATTACCTTACCATCCGTCATTAGCGACTTTGCCCCTGACTCCGCTGCCATTGGACATCATTCAGTTGTCGAGAGCAATTCCCCATCAGGAATCCCTTCTTAAATCTAGGATGCGGAAACCAGTCCGATGTTTTTATCCACCTCTTTTTGGGGATACAAGCGTACATGGAAAGGAAGCACCCGAACAGGATCCTTGGGTCCTCCAAGGTCAGCTCTCCACTTCTTCCACTCTTCGGCGCCGATTTTTTCTGGGTATTTCCCCATTTCGGAAATTAGATCGGAGCTGGCGGCCCTTGCTGCCAAAGATTGACCACTGGTCATTCTATTGCTGATCCTTGGAATCAGATATATGATCCAAAATAATAATGATGATAATAATAATAATAATTATTATTATTATTATTATTATTATTATTATTATTATTATTATTATTATTATTATTATTATAGGTACTACTGTAAATGCACTGTTACTGGAAGGGAAAAAGAGAAAGATAATCCTGACTCGGGAGAGGAGCTACCAAAGTGCATACTACAGAGTAGCTCCGAACTGTAACCTAAGTACGAGTGCCAACTAGGTACCTACATACCTACATACCAGCTTGTGACTGGCCTTGAGACTTAGCATGGTTTAATTTGAGGAGATAACCAACCCTAACCTAAGTATAATCCGATAGCTATCCATCACAATTGGGTGGCTTCTCCCTTAGCTCTCCCACCGTTCGAACTTTACCCAGCCAACTTTCGTACTCCCGTCCAGGTACCTAGCTAGTTGGAAATTGGAACGTGTGTTCTCCCCGACTAAAAAAAGGGAACGTGAGGAGAAAGCTATTTTAGGTCTTGCCTACTGAAGTAGAAGCACAACACTTTCCTGATTCGCAACTGGAACTCATCGAGCGACCCACACGGCAAGACATACTTCTCGCTTTAGTTCAGGGGCAAAAAGTTGACAGGTCATTGTACGATGGATTAAATTAATATTAATGTACTTAGTATAGCCCTTGATGGTCGAGGCTCGACAAGGCTGCTGGTGCCTTTGTTCTATTGATATATCAGACTACAGATATTACACGGGAAACGAAAAAGAAAAAGAAAAAAGTCCCGAGGAGAAAGAAAGTGGAAACCACTCCGTTGGAAATAGTCTTTTTATTTTTTTTTTCTCTCTTTCTTTCTTTGTTTTGTTGTTGTTTCCCCTGAGGGGGGAATTCCCATTGCCGAAGTCTCCAGACGTTTTTCCGACGCCCTGCGTGTAACACGAATTATGGATATCTTCATGCACATCCAAGTCTAAAATAATTGAGATATACCAGGATTGCGCCGTTGAGGATCACCCAGCTTGCAGCTGTCAACGCGGATGGGACCCAGTTACGTTGTCGTCACTCGTCAGCGAACAGTCAAGACATGCATGGCCCTCCATTTGCCGGCATCGCATACTCCGTAGTCACATAATCAATCTGACGCAGCGGACAAGTGATATGAGGTGATAGATCTGCGCAGGAATGATCATCTGTAGTTTTTCTGGAGTTGGCAATATAATTTTCTTTTTCCTTTTTCAGGTCGTGAGCTAGTCCACGTCTGAATTACCACATCACACATAAACTCGTGAATATCTCGCTTCGCGATGAACAGAATTGTGGTGGAGTCATAATTCGCCATTGCTTTCTCCTCTATTGATGATTAAGTCATGGTGTTCTCATGATCATGACTAATCAAGGACAGTCGTTGGAAGGATGATGACGTGAACATTGATACTCTGTTTTGTTGATGGAACATATCATTTCGTACTAGGCAGGTGAAACACCTTGGCGCCAATGCCCCAGAGTTAGTTAATCATATATACACTGTAAAAGGTCAAAACTCGCAGTATGCCAATCAATATACTTCCCAAAGTCCTGTTCTTCGACGTATTCGGAACCGTTGTGGAATGGTGCCCGTCCGTCACAAGAGAGTTGAAAGACGCCGCTGAGCGCGCCCTTCATGATCCCGGCAAGCCTATTCCTCCAGACGAACGCGCACGGGTCTCACAGATGACCTTCACAGACTGGCTCTCAGTTGCGGAAGATTGGCGACAGTCCTATGGACAGTTTACTGCCAAGTTTGACCCTTCCCAAGGCTTCGTTTCGGTCGATCAGCACCATTATACTGCTCTGTCCACACTACTCAAGCAACGGAAGATCGAGAACCTCTTCACAGATAGCGAGAAGTGGGATCTGTCGCTCTGCTGGCACCGACTTGTTCCGTGGCCAGACAGCGTGCGAGGCCTGGAACTGTTGAGCCGGAGGTTCCGCACGTGCACTCTGTCAAACGGCAACGTCTCTTTACTAGAGGATCTCCAGCGCTATGGCTCCTTGCCTTTCACGGATATAGCCAGTGCAGAGAATTTTGGGGCGTATAAACCCTCTCCTCAGGTATATCGTGGGGCAGCCGCCCGCTTCGATCTAGACCCCAGTCACTGCGCCCTGGTGGCAGCCCATCTCTCAGACCTGAAGGCCGCCAAAGCACAAGGTTTTCAGACAATATACGTTGCGCGTTCTAAAGAAGAGACAGAAGATTTATCTCAGGCAAAGCAAGAGGGATATGTGGATCTTTGGATCGAGCTGAACACAGGTGGTTTCGTTGAGGTTGCACGGCAACTTGGCATTCAAGTGGCAGTTAAGTGATGAACACATGCCATATATTAAAGCTAAGAAAAGAGCAGAGATTATCTGACTCTCACTCTATGATTCTGTGACAATGAAGCCACAGTACTGTACATGCCCAATTAGAGATGAGATATGGAATGACGCTATAAGTCTAACATAGATGATGACCAACTTGGTCACTTCAACTACTCTTGGGTATATTTTCTTTTATGTCTCTTAGGTTGATGGCACAATTCTAACCCAATCGTATGCATCACTAACCATTTACCCCTCACGATGACGCAGCAGGTAAAGTCATTGATTGATTGCAACATAAGCTCTGAAATTTGTCAGCCCACTGATTACAAATTCAGATCATTGAAGTCAGATTCACCCAAGCCGACACATTTAAACCGCCTCCTTACCGTCTTTTTACGTGCTCGCCAAAGTTGACTTCGAAAAAAAGCGAGTGCCATGACAGAGCAGGTATGTAGGGCATCTCATGACACCGGCGCCTCCGTACTAAGAGAAGGCCTTCAGGAACATAAAGTCTACCGTCACGCCGACGCCGATGGACACTTTCGGCGTAAAGCTTCGGTCTTTCGCTCGTCCGTGTCCAGTGATCCTGCAGCTAAATTTCCTGCCGAAAAAGACCGCTATGTCTTATACTTGGGGTACGGCTGTCCATGGGCGCATCGGACCAACATTGTTCGATTACTCAAAGGCCTCGAGGAGATTATCCAGCTGGTGGTTTTGGATCCTGAGCTGGGGCCCGATGGGTGGTTCTTCTCAGGTCGCTGGGGTTCAGCAGAGAAAGATCCTCTTTACGGGTTCACACAGCTAAGACAGCTATATTTCAAAGCAGATCCGGCGTACGAAGGGCGATACACCATCCCGGTACTGTGGGACAAGAAGGAAGGGACAATAGTAAATAATGAAAGCAGCGAGATTATCCGGATGTTCTATACCGAATTCGACCATCTACTTCCAGATGAGTTGCGTGAAATCAACAGGCCGGGTGGAGGGTTCTACCCTCAGCCTTTGAGAAAAGACATTGATGAAATGAATGAATGGGTGTACCATCAGATCAACAATGGGGTATACAAGACAGGGTTCGCAACCACACAACAAGCCTACGAGGAGAATATCTACCCCTTATTCGAGGCGCTAGATCGTGTCGAAAACCACCTAGCGCAGCCCGGACACCAGCCATATCTATTCGGCGAAAACATAACAGAGGCTGATATTCGCCTGTATACAACAATCGCCCGGTTTGATGTGGCCTACTATCTCATCTTTAGATGCAACCTCAAGATGATACGGCATGATTATCCACGAATCCATGATTGGTATCGTCGGTTATACTTCGACGAGTCTACCCGGACGCGGGGGGGTGCCTTTAAGAAGACAACATATTTTGACATTGTAAGTGGCGTTATTAAGATTTAGCTGATTTGGGCCAATCGCTAACACTAGCCTGCAGTACAAATTTGGCTACCTCAAGGCAATTGGCAAACGGACGGGCAGCTCGCAGTTGATCATCCCGGCTGGTCCGTCACCAGACATCTTGCCACTGGAGGGTCAGTAGTGCAGTTCTAGCACAAGGTAGCGTTTCAAGTCTCGTCTTGATAATGCGACAGGGCTAGAATTATACGAGGGGAGAGTGGCTGATATACGAAACATGGCCCACCCTGTACCAGTGTCCGGTTTATATACTGCCCCGCATATTAAACTTCCTCGACCGCTTAGAGCACCAAAATAATACGACATAACTTAGGTGATCTTCGCAATGATGGTAAACGTTAGGTGGTTCGTGCATGATACTGAATTAGAACTAGGGTGGAGTGACTGTGCTTCCAACGTCTCGGGTGTTGGGCATCAGAGGATTATCTCGTGGGTCTTAGCCCAAGCCTTGACATTAGGATCCTACTATCAATCCGTCAATTAGTGACTAGTGCGGAAAATAATCCCGAACAATTCAACTCAATGACTTATTGAGGTTCACTATAGTTATGTCGCGTACAGGACATGGGTAGCTCGATCCCAAATTAGTGGCAGAACCGCCATTAATGGTATCTGTTATATGCCGTAATTCAAAGCTAGTAGGGAGGCAGTGCTGCGTCATGAATTTAGGGGAACTTTCCTAATTGTCTCCCATGCAATGCGAGAGACTTCAGAACAACTAGATTCATGCAGACTATCCACCCACCATGGTCCATTCGTGGTATGCAAAGAAGGTCAGCTGTCAGCCACGGATGTTATGTGCTCACCGTTGTAGCCACCTACATCTCAAGTCCCTGTAGGCATATATCTTGTACGGTCTGGTAGCGCAAATCGTTTCAGCTATACAACCAAGCACAATGGTGGTAAACGTTCCACTAAGATTCGGTGACCTTGAACTAGTTGGTAGCAGGTACCCGACGTGGCAGAACGCCCCCAGCTAAGGGAACTGGAAAGTGCGTCCTCTCTTCATTATTGAATAATGTTGACGCTGGAGCATTCTGCGGATTACAATGCATATGCAGGAGGTTATTGGCACAATTACGAGCTAATCAATGCAAAAGTTATGCATAGAGATGTATAAATAGAAGTGTTCGGTCATTAGTGTGCATTCCCTCATCTATAAGCCATCACAGGTACCAAATCAAGAAATCGTTTCGAGCCAGTTTGATTAGGATAAGACGACTATTAAGAGCTAGTAGCCCAGACCGGTATCTACTTGCGCGTTTCCGGATCACTGTCGTCTTACTAGGTAGCTATCCACGTGGAAGATGGGGCGGGAGATTATTGTGGATGCCGGCGTATTTACCTAGGGAGTATGTTATAATTCTTAGGGAATAGAAAAGATAAAAAAAAAAACAAAAAGAAAGAAAAAAAACACTGGAGCTCAGTGCAGCCGGAATTGCCCAGATTGGGTTAGTCTTGCTGCTACTCCAGCTCCATGATATCCACAAATGGATAAGATGTACAAAATCGAAATCCTGAAGTCCTCACCAAGCTTGTTGCCCAGTTTCCTGGGTACATACCTTAATTTCGCCGGCGTTACCGCTTTAATCTGCTTGTCCGCTTAACCTTCTCGCCTCGCCTATCCCCTTTCCCCTTTAAGCTAACAAATGTACGGAGCTCTACCGAGGTTCTTGTCTTCATGGATCCCCAGGCGGATCTCAGTTGCTCAGTCGTTCATCGGACCAGTCAGCCATCGTCTTATACCTAGCTATCTTTGGCCTTCCGAAGTGGAAACATCACGAGTTAAAGGAATGTTGCGGCTTGGCTTGCTTCCTGAGCTACCAACGTCGCATAGCACAAGCACAAGTGCACAAATCGAATACCTCCTCACGTGCCATATGTTTCTAGTTACCAGGAGTATGGACACCGCATGCGAATGCTCAACCGCCCACCATAGACACCTAAGCCAAGCTCGGGGGGCCGTTTGCATTGAGCTCCAAATAATATGCTCCCTTAGCTATTTACGTTCGGTATGGATAACTCTAGAGCACAGCATAAAAACCGCTACGAGGTAAATATCAAGGCCATCGAGTTCGTATGCTCAATGATGTAGGTTGCGGTGTCAAGCCCAGAACCTTGTCAGCACGGCAGCAATCTGACTTCCAGCAACTCAGACTCCAGAAATTGGTGGACAGTATATAACCGTAATCAATGTAACAGTGACTTGAGACTTTCTAGTCAGTGTCAGATATGTACCTTCCATTCACATGATCATTGCAGTGCTGTGGAGGAAGCTCTATGCCTTGTTTGTGTAGCTACCATTGCGTTGAAGAGGTAACTCTCTGCCGCTGGGTAAGGCTCCACTACGGCCAACTGAAAAATAAAATAGTATAAAGTAAAATATATCAATAAATAAAAGCAAACCAAGCTACGGAGTACAGAATAGGGTTTTCCATCCTATAACCTTTCCTCGCTGTTTTCTTACCTGGGCTCCCAGCATGGCTGTTCATCGATAAAGTGTTGTCAGTGTGATGCAAGAATAGAAGCAGGGGGTTAGCAACTGAGAAAAGTCGACATTGGACAGAAACATTCGACAACATGACAATAGAAGCTACATGTTCTGAAATATATACGTTCATACTGCCTACGGCTAAAGTATTCCCCTCCCTAAAGGGGAACGATGATATGATGACAAACTATACCTGTCTAACTACTGGCCGGCGAAAATAATCCAGTTATCTAAAGCGACTGGATGAGATGATTAATCCCTGTTAGCTCGTGGAACCTTATTTAACCAGCGATGGACCGGCCCGGCACTGGTTATCGGACGGATTCTTCGGAAGGGTGCGCATATATTGGGTTTAGCAGGGATCCAGGGAAAAAAAATAAAAAAAGAAAGGAATGAGAAAGAAAAATTTGTCGTCGTCATTTCGCTTACCACTACTAGCATAATGTAGCATTCTAGCATTCCAATCTAATGGTACGGAGCACATACTGCATATAGTACCGCTAACTCCCTAGGAGAAACCCCCAATGATACAATAGGGGTAAGATGGACCCCACTATAGATAATTATCATGGAACTTTCTTCGTCGAACGAATTTCTCGCTAAGCCCAGATGGGGTGAATTTTTTGTTTGAATTTCACATGCCGATGGCAATGTCAGCAAATGTCAATTGAAAAAAAAAAAAAAAAAAAAAAAAAAAAAAAAAAAAAAAAAAAAAAAAAAAAAAAAAAAAAAAAAAAAAAAAAAAAAAAATCGGCGGTTTGATGGGAAAAGATATTAACATGCAAGTGTGAACAATGCATACGTTGTCGCAATGTCCTGCGGTCATTTTCATATTTGGATCACCATGAGATATAACAAGACTGCTTTTGGAGTCCAAGAATTATACGGCACTAAAATCCCAAAGCTTACGACAAACCACGTATTAGGTAGTCCCGGGAATTAGGAAGATTGGTTTTAGCCTGACCACCAGGGGCCACGGAATGTTCTGTATTCCTTCCCCGGGTGGACCTGCAAAGACTCGTGATGGTTGCTGCACCGGCGCAATCTCCCTCTCGATTATTCTGCCTAGAAAAATAGGCACACCTGGGGCAGAGACCAATAAAATAAGAAAGAAGACAGGAAAGCCGTCCCCTGATCGGATTGGGGGTTTTTTTTTTGATCATGACATCTGGTATACGTTAGTCGGAAAATATGATCGCTGGTACAGTATAAAGGACTTCCATGATTTAACGGCCTTACTGCCTGGTCTGGGTATGACTCTATCTGAAGGATGGATCAACTCCTATTGTCGCAATCACACATACAGGGAAAAATGAATGTACAATACCAATTGTCTGCGGTAGTGGGGAGCTCCCCGAACTTAGCGTTACCGTACGCCCACCTCGTGTCTACCCGATACTGTTTCGACCAAGCCGAACGGACTTTCTTGGGCCTGGATGTGGGACGGGTCAAGGAGACCAGAATTGTGTTAGGGGTGGGAATTTTGCGTTGAAGAAACGACCTAAGCCCTAATAGATCGACCAGAATACCTTACGTAGTACTGAATGATTGGGAAGAAGTCTCAGGAGCTGTTATAGAACTCTGGTGTTATTCATAAGCCACGAAGGACAAGGATTGATACTACGTACGGACTCCTGTCAATCCTATTCCTGCGAACATCTCGCCAGAATCGAGCTTGTAAATGGAGAAATATCGGTAGACAGATGGTATCTGAGCGATATAATGATTAGGATTGAGTACCTGCGAACTTGATACAGTCAATCAAACGCTAAAAATTGGGGATGGCATCATTTTCGATGTAACTGTAGTAGTACTCTATGCTTTGTCAATGCATGTTCAGGTTTTGTATTTTGATAGAGTCCAGGCACGGTACCTTTTAGAAATAAAAAGAGGGAAAAAAAAAAAAAAAAGGTTACCCAACCATACATCATCCGGAAGGAATCCCCACTCACTCAACGCGGGTCCATCTGCATGTCCAATCCACCAAATGCAGTTCCAGTTCCAGCTTCAAGCCCCAGACAGACACTAAGTCACTCTCTCATGCTTTTAGGTCTTACACAGTACAGTTGGTACTCTTCCACTCCCTTTGCCCCTCTCTTGCTGCTGCTTCTCCTGGTTTCTATTTTTCTTCCCCTCTTCGTCGCTATTACCATTCCGATCCAGCCTTTCTTACTGTCCTCCTGTCAGATTTCTCCACCCAATCGGGTCAGTTAATGTATAAATAAATAGTGCCCAACTTGGGTTATTAATAAGCTAGCGCACAGAATTAGTCATTTATTTCAAGAGGGTTAAAAATATTAAACAAGAACTAAATGAGAAAGAGAGAGGGAGAGGGAAGAAAGAAGCCGAAGACGAAGAAGCCATCTATACCGCATACCCACCAACTCCTCCTAACTAAACACGCTAACCCAAAACTAAGAGACGGCTCTTGGTCTCCGACAGGGATCATTGTCTCCAACGCCTCATTTCATTATCTATTTTGTGATTCTATTCTATTGGCCTTTTTTTTCACTTTCCTTTTTTTTTTTGACCCTCTAGAAACACCTTGCCCCCCCCTTCTTTTTCATTTTGACATTTTGTTATCCTATCCAGTTTCTCCCTCTTCCTACACATTCAGATCTTCATACTGATAC